ATCAAACTTAGTAAAGAAAACTAAAGAGCATTAACAACAAAAACAAGCCAACAAATACGAAAAAAAAAAGTAACAACATCTTACCTTAGCCAGTGGTTGAACTGACTTTGGTTGATTATTCCTTTTATCCTGGCAAAAGCACCACAAATGGCTTCCAGGATTCTTCATTCTTCTGGTTTTTCTTTTATTTTACTCAGTCTTCTTTACTGGTTCCTCTTCTTCCTAACTCTGTATTTTGGAGTAATCCAAGGCTCTAATCTGTTTTTTTCTCTATTTAAATCCTGGCCCTTGATGATCTTATTCTTTCAGTTACTATACATATCTATATCTGTATCTTGATATAGATATAGCAATAATTACAGGCATAAACTGAAAATTTTGAAATTTAGACCTCCCATCTTTACCCCTTTCTTAAAATCCAAACATATATACAACTAACTATTCTAAATTTCCACTTTCATGTCTAATTAAGTGGGATATGTCAGATTTTAAGTTTTAATTTTCACCCAAAATTTATCTTATTCTCCACCTGTTTTATGTAGGTTGATGACAAATCGATCTTTTACTTGCCCAGGACAAAAACCTTACAGTCATCCTTCATTCCTCTCATTCATATCCAATATTTTGGAAAATCGTGTTGACTGTACCTTCAAATTTATCTGATATACAATGACTTTTCATCACGTCTCCTGCTACAATCCTGGTCTAAAAGTATTACCTGGATAACTGCAATATGCTTCTAAATGTTCTTTCTTACTGGCCTTTGCCCCTACCATCTATTTGAACACCAAATACAGAGCGGGTTGCATTTCTTTTTTCTTTTGTTTATTTTAATTAGATAAGGGTGAGCATCTCATTTCTTGACTCAAAACTTATCAACTGTTCTTCAATTTAGAGTCAGTCCTCCCAAATGATCTACTAGATCTCGATCATATTATCTCTTTGATCTTATTTGCCTCTATATCCTTAACTCGTGTCACTTCAGTTATTCTGGGTTTCTTGTTGTTCCTTAAAGATGCTAACATTTTCCCCTTTGAACTGACTGATCACTCTCCTTGGAAGAATCTTTCCCCAGATATCCATGAAATTAACTGTATAACTTTCTGTAAGTCCTGGGTCAGATGCCACTTTCTAGATGAGGACTATATTAAACAATCTAACTTTCTAGATGAGGACTATATTAAACAATCTATTTAAAACTGCAATCCTCCAAAGCCATTTCTCTTTTCCACATTTATTTTAAAATAAATATTTTCTCAGCAAATATCACCATCCAACATTATACACAATTTGTTGGTCATCTAATTGTTGTCTGCCCACTTCTACTAGAATTCTTTTTGGTTCTTAAACTGGACCCTGTACACAAAGGACAAGGAGAGAAGAGGCAGGCTACTCCAGATTAATATGTGGCAGTTTTAATAACCAAGGAATCTTACATGTGAGACCTGCCTTTGTGGCCTTAAGACAAGTAGATCTCTGCAATCTCCCACCAAAATCTTAAAGGTTTATATAGAAGCCTTACCTGGGTCCAGTCACGTATTCAATCCAGATGGTCTCAACATACCTTACTCTCTCAAGGCTGTGTCTTTAAAACAACTCCTTGGTGTGGGAATGGTGGGCAGAAGGTGCTTCCCAAGGGCGGAGAGTGGGTGTGGAGCCTCCAATTGCCCGGGTCCAGTGTGCAGGTTAACCAGCAGTCACAACCTCTTGATAACTTCCTCCAGAAATGACTGGTACCTTTGGTT